AATAAACTATTCATATATTTTTGAAAATAATAATATAGTGATCATTAGTTTTTTTTTAATATAAAGCGTTAAGAGGTCATTTGATAAAAATCGCCTGATGATACCGTAAGATTGAAACCAGGGTAGCAGATTCAACTGACCTTTTAAAGTTAAAAGTTCTACATGTTATTTTGACTTTCATTTTATTTTATTTTTTTTTCACACGTGTATTGAGTACCTTTTTAATACCACTGTTTCCTGGTCCGATTCAACCCTGACCATGAACCTTTTATGTATTATATATGATTAATATGAGTAAAAATTTGTCACTTAGTTGATTAATGTTACTTTCAGCATCCCAACTCCAGAGTCTCTTAGGCTGTTCGGAAAATAGTGTCCGATTTCAAAATCAGCTTCTATTCTTGAATTAATGTATTTAAAAAAAAACAAAAAAAACTTTAAATCTGTCAAAATAGGAATCTCGAACATCGATACATTGTTGCCATCAAATTACAAAGTTATTTATGTCTTTACGATAAAATTCTAAAGGTCTGGGCACCAAGAAATCTTTGAATGCAGTTTCTGTATCTACTTTGCAAGGGAATGTCTTTTGGAGTTTTTTTTTTTAATTGGAATCACCCCAAGCAAGGTAGAGAAGCCACTAAAGCACAAGGAGTTACAGGGTTTGGAAGAATTAAGAACAGAAACATTAATAATGAGAGGGAAGAGAAAAGAGTAATCAGGTGGACAGTAAATAGCGATTGACATTGCATTTAAATTCTTGCAGATTAAAGTTGGCTGGAAAGCATGAAGCCGGAAGGGAGTCCCACAAGCGAGAAACTGTTATTTAACTGAATTTACGGCTACATTTCGCCAGATCAACTGTAAATTGATGAGATCTTGACACCAGTCTAGTGCTGCACTTGAATTCAAAAACTAATAGCAAAGAGCTTATTCGAACAATTACCATGGAAGTATCTATGGCAACGACATAGAGAGGAAGCCTAATGGCGGTGGGAAAACCACTGGAGCTGATCGGGACCAATAATATTGCAGATTCTTCTTTGGATCTTATCAAGGAGCTACAGGAAAATAGCAGGGGCGCCGAACTATAAGATGAAATTCATCAAGGAATGCACCGTAGTTTTTTCCTACCCAAGAACTTTCGACCTCCTCCAAGATCATCATCTGAGGTAAATTACAAAGACAAACTTATTGTAACTGTGATCGTTGTAATGGTGAGTTTTAAAAAGAAAAAAACACACCTGGACGCGCTCTCTTATAATTATTTTAAAATTTTAAATCTATCCGTTGTAGCTATGGGTTTTTAAAAACACGCATTCCAATGTAAGGGGGATAACCATATATATATATATATATATATATATATATATATATATATATAATTATTTATTCGAAAATTATAACATAGATATGTTATAAAATTACAAATTTCAAATTTTATAGTATAATTTAATATTTATTAATTAGAATAAATTCTATTTTAGTCTAACCCCAGCATTAAAACATTAAATAATTATTATGACCAAAGTTCGTTGTCCAGTTTTTTGAATTCTCGTATACTTGTATTTTGATTGGTCATTTCAGCTTATGTAACAGCGTTTCCATTAGCGAGGAGTGTTTGATTGATTTGAACTTTTTAAAACCCTTTATTCTACATTCAACATCATCACTTGATAAGACACCAGAAGTGTTGAAACAAAATGGCTATTTTTGTAGTGATTTTATAACATATTTATTTTAGAATTTTCGAATAAATAATTATATTTGCTCTACCATGTATTAAGCACTCTTTTACGAATAGTATTTGTTGGTTATTGGAATTTATTCCATATACACCAATCCTATACTTGTATATATATATATATATATATATATATATATCAGACACGGAAAGAAAACTGCAAAAGATCTTATAGAAGTTAGTGAAGGAAAACGAGAAGAAAGGACTATCAATTGCAAAAAGACAAAATGCATGGTTAATAGTAAAATAAAGAGCCCAACATGCAAAGTACAAACTGTAAATACCAATTATTCGGACACATGGCACAGTGGATAAAGGCGTTGGTTAGATCCAGTGACAGGACCCAAAGAGTGTGAGTTCAATACCCGGTTAAGGCAATGGAGAACTTTCAGAGAGCAATATTAACAGGAGATAACTAATAACTGACATCCATTAAACATGGCACGTGGAACTAGAACTTGAAGCATCCCAGTGAGCGAAATAAAGGTTCGACATTCCACCCACCTGAAGAAGGCCGGAGCGTACAACGACTGAAACGTTGTGATAAATATGGCGACAAAGATGAGGACAATAGACCGAATAATGTAAATAATGTACATAATACCTCATCTCAGAAATATAGACAGATATTGTAAATACCAAAAACAAAACAATTACAACAAATTAAATATTTGGGAAGTCTTTTAACAGAAGACGGAAAGTGCTACACCGAAATCCGAAGATAGCCGAAGATGCTTTTCAAAAGTTAAACAGAGTAAAGCAAAGAACTCTTACATGATATCGGTCCATCTGTATGGCACTGAATGCTGTGCAAATTCTTCACATATGAAGAGGCTTGAAGCAGCAGAGAGTTGGTTCTACAGGAGGATTCTGGGGATACCATGGACCAAACATGTGATCAACAACGAAATTTTAGGGAAAATGGAAACAAGAAGGAAACTAATTCATAACACTGGGAAGAGACAGTTGACTGTTTTGGCCTTGGTAGGGTCCAGAAATAAAAACAAAGAGAGGAATTCAGTTAAACAAATATATTAATAGAAACAGTAATACAAACAAGAGTGTTGCAGCAAGAATGTTTGGTCCGACTATCAGAGCTGACTACTGGAAACTTCCCTCTCTAAAAGGCTGCGTGTGTAAATTACCATAACATTGAAATTTCCAGGAATATATATATATATGTGTGTGTGTGTGTGTGTGTGAAAAGTGTGTGTGTATATAAATATAAATAACCCAGGGTCACAAAATCACATCAATCCAACCATATATATATATATATATATATATATGTATATAGAAAGAAATTTTTATGTTTATACATTCTTTTTTATAGATACAAATATTTAAGTAAATGTTCTGTTTATAATAAATAGTATTAACAACATTTACCGGCCTGAATGTCCGAGAAATTGTCCGACAGGAATCGAACCTGCATCCTATATGGAACCGTCATATAGCCTGACGTGCTTTTACCGATTTCGCCACAGAGGTGCGTTTCGGTTAGCAAGGTCGATTTTACTGTTTTTAAACTACAATTATTTTAAGACATTTTTATGTTTATACATTCTTTTTTTTATTGATATAAACATAAAAATGTCTTAAAATAATTGTATTTATATATAAACTCAAAATTCACCTTCACAACGATCACAGTTACGATAAGTTTGTGAATTCACTACTGAGGATGACCTCGAAGGAGATCGAAAGTACTTGGATAAGAAAAAACTACGGCACATTCCTTGATGAATGTCTTCTTAACATCATTGGTTAGAGAATTAGAAAGGATAATTCTAAAAATAGACATAATATATTATTCAAGAATCACACACAAACACACACACACACACGCGCGCGCGCGCACACACACACACACACACACATATATATATATATATAATTTAAATAAAAACAGACCACTTTAAGGTTCCATGTAATAAATTATTTCACCACAGCCCTTTTAAAGGACTGCGGATCATCAGACTTTACTTCCAAACGTTGAAATAAAAAATGAAAAGAAAAGAATTTCAACCTTTGGAAGTAAAGTCTGATGATCCGCAGTCCTTTTAAAAGACCTGTGGTGAAATAATTTATTACATGGAACCTTAAAGTGGTCTGTTTTATTTAAATTATTTGCTCTGGATTTACATTGAGCTCTCTGGATTTTATCCTCCTTGGGTTTACCCATACGGATTACCTTTCATAAATATATATATATATATATATATATATATATATATATATATATATATATATATATATATATATATATATATATATATTTTTAGTCTGCAGGTATAGACATAAATTTGTAATGTTGAAGGTGCGGGGATAAATTGAAAGCCACCATCAACCTGCATCTGTTCCTTGACGTATACATCCGGATCTCCAAAGACACAACGTCTTAAGTGATAATGTTACACCCATATCAATAACGATCTATTTTCAATCCATCTTTGTCCGCTCTCCTCGCCGCGTAATATATACCGCAAACCACATAAAGGCCATCTAAATATAGAATTGAGTATCCTGTCCCTTGAACCGCCTGGAGATTTTGAGAGTGCCATATATCATACTGGAAGTCGACGTGAAACTTGAAGTTGCGGAAAGGTAGCAATGTTAGAGTAGCCATTTTTTTGTATATTTTTTGTATATATACTAAATGTTGATATAAAGAGTTCTGTTTAATTTATAGTAATTCACCGTTTTTCTACTTTGATTATTCTAAAGAATCTTAATGATTAAGTAAGCTCATGGTTATTTCTACGACAATAAAATATCCGTAGAAATTCCCCTATCGCATCGTTAAATATTTGTGTTTAACAATTTTAACTAGTTTTAACCTGTGAAAATTTAACAGTTTCCCTGTTTTCATATTCTGGCGAATCGAACTTAATTCTTAAGTTAATGATTAAGCTCATGGCGAATTCTACGACAATATAATATCCGTAGAAATTCCCCCATCGCATCGTTAAATATTTGAGTTTAACAACTTTAACAAAATATTGTAATAACAATCGTAAATATGAATACTGGTTGTTATTTTAAGAAGTAAGGGGGTACAAATGAAAAGATTTTAAATTGACACTTTTTTCCATTTTACTGAAATAGACGTTAAACACTTGTATGTTCCCTTCTTTCTTTCTTTCTTTCTTTCTTGCATTTTCTCACTGAAATCAAGTAGTGCATTTTCCCCTCTTTCCACGCGAGGAAAATGGAATAGTCCATTATTTATGAGGTACTGGCAGGAAATGTTAAGCACTTTCTTTCTTTCTTTCTTTCTTTCTTTCTTTCTTTCTTTCTTTTTCTTTCTTTCTTTCTTTCTTTCTTTCTTTCATTTTCTCATTGAAATCAAGTAGTGTATTTTCCCCTCTTTCCACGCAAGCAAAATGGAATAGTCCATTATTTATGAGGTACTGGCAGGAAATGTTAAGCACTTTCTTTCTTTCTTTCTTTCTTTCTTATATTTTCTCACTGAGAACAAGTAGTGTCTCTGATATGTTTTTTCCGTCTTTTCCGCCAATCAAAGCGAAACAACAGTCGATTATTTAAAAAAATATTGGCAGAGCGTAACGGTCGTACGAACTAACGAAGGCAAGGACCAGCACAGTTATAATAGGATATTTTAATAAACTAATTAACTTTTTAGTATGATTACAGATGTTAGTTTTTCATCAAATTTCTATATGACACCACTTAGGGGTTACTTTTCGTCGTCGTCGGCTTTATCGCATACCCAAGAATTTAATTTCTTCTTTGCTGATCGTTTACTTTATGAAGATGGCGTTTATGACTAAATTTGCAGGTTCAGAACTAGAAGCTTCCAGTTTCAACCAAAACTTGTCATTAATTCCCTATCGCCATTTGGCTTTGCAAGAGTTGACTGGGGGGGTGAAAGAAAATCAGAATAGAAGAAAGTGATGATGGCGTGAACTTGTTTAAAGTTGACATCAACTTGACAGGAAGTGACTTTTCATGACATTCCTCTGCGGCACATAAGGAAGGAGACATGCAGAATGCACTTATGAAACGGCAACGGACAATATAAAAACCTATTGAATAATGCTAAAATGAAATATATTAAAAGTTGTTTAAGAACAAGGTTGGATGATGACCACCTGGATAATATTTTGCTCCTCTCATCGACAAATATTTCACCTGATGTAAAGAAGTTATCAAACAATAAGCAGACCCAAGCGTCTCATGAAATAATTTGCCATTTCTAACTGTATTTCATTTGTAGTAATGAATTGTCATTTTTTTGATTGTGTCAGTTGTTTTCTTGTTATTCCTGCAATAAAATAATAATCTTTTTAAAATAATATAACATTAATTTCGTTTTTTTTTCTTTAAATCTCCAGACCAAGGAAGCCTTCTGGACAAATCGGTCTGAGTTTGAGACAATTTATTATAATACATTTGATATCATGGCCCTCTTCGGAGACAATGCATAGCTGTAGAGTAAAAGTTGACTGGAAGAGTAAGAAGCCGAGAGAGAGTTCCACATGTGAGAAGTGCGAGAGAAGAAACTGTTAGCATAGAACTTACGGTTAGATTTGAACTGTAAAATGACGAAACCTTGCCGCCAATCTAGTACTGCACTTATAGCGTCTAGGACCCATAGAGGAGAGTTCATCAAAGCAATTACCATGAAAGTATTTATAGAAATGACACAGGAAAACTATATTACAGTGCTGACATATTCCACCCATCGTATTCTCAGTTCTGTAGAACAATATCCCAGTTACTTCAATTCTCCTCTTCTTCTATGAGGAAATCGTACAGCATTCACAGCCTTATTGCTAGATTGATATTACACTGCTGTTCAGTACTCTTTTTGTTGTTTTTAATGGAAATTTTTTCTGTTTCTTAATACTTGGTTTAGTTTTTGGAAGGCATCTTTTCCTATTCCAGTACTCTCTCTCAGATTTATCCCCAATGCGTATTTGTTTAAAGCGATTTGCAATTTAGATAGCTTAAGACAATGTGTCACGTCCGTATCAACTTCGAGCATATGCATATGTTTCAAGCTAGGAAGAGATAACAAAAGCACTCTTAATAAAAGGAATTCGAGCCAATAATTTGCTGACCCACCAGAACGGAGATAGACTATTTAAAAGAGAGGTAGTATTTTTTTATCGACGGAAAAAGCATTGGAAATTAAATGTTGAAAGTTCTAAAGTCTTTCGTTGTTTAAAAGTTTAATCTCCTCGACAACCCCCCCCCCCCCCAAAAAAAAAAAATTGGTTTTGTTTCTCCATAAAATGGAATCTAAGAGCCGACTTCGACCATTTATAATCGCACTAACCCCCTAGGAGATGATCCTTTAATACCTACTCTATCTTCCATCACAAGATATTCTTATAAAATATCTCATTATTTGTATGCCACGGAGAAGAGAAACTAATTTCCCAATACCGTTACCCTCATAGTCAACTATGGCAAGGATTGATAAGGATTATTTATTTTAAAAATCGCTAGACAATTGCAATTACGTTCCGACAACATAAATGTGTCTCTTCAGGCGATATTAAAATACTGGCGAATGAAAGATTAATTTCAAAAAGCAGAAAATCTTTTTTAAAAAAAAAATAGACTTGTGAGCCTTGCCATGATTAACTAATCGAAAGTAACCTTCGCTAAATTTAAATTCACCGGAAAAATTTTTTAATATAGGTCATGACACGAAGTTGTCTACATATAAAACCTAAACAATTTCCTTCTGGGCAGATACAGATTGTTACATTATTTTTTAAGATGTATCGAAGTCTGACGCTCAAACTACCCAAGAAGCAAAAGCAAAAGAGACGGGGAGGTAATTTAACATAGTGCTAGCCAGTTATATGCTCGTCCAGGACATTGAAGTTAAACAATTGCGACTCTCACTTTCGGCCTTGTTCCACATCTGAGCTACGGTTAGAAAATCACCATATAGGTTGCGTCTGTAAACTAGAAAACGATCACACTTTTCTGATGGAATTCATGTTAGTAAACATTGTAAGACTGCTTCAGAGTTGAAAAGTCTTTTATTTCAGAAGATAATTGCTAATGAACTACAGTTTGTGATTGCTTTAAAAAGGAGTTAGACAAAGCTAAAAATGATATCAGATATCAAAAATATTTTATATGGAATAAAGTTGTCTTCTCTTATTTCACCCTGCTCGCATTGGCCAGAGCTAGACTGCGAATATTCCCAATACAACCAGCCGCCGCTTCTTGCAAATAAATGTCTGTCGAGCCGACCATCTTCATCAGCGGCTGAAAAGAACAAACAAAAATTTTCAACGTCGAAGAAAAGGCAAGAAAAGTCGAAAAAATTTGTACGCGTTTTAAAGAAGGTTTTGTAGAAGAAGAAGCATTGTAATTATCATAAAAGTCATTTAAAAATATTGGCATTGATGTTTGTTATATTACATTGCAAATCTTAACAACCTGTGACCCATGACATTTGCAAAGTGTCATGATGATTAACCGCACGATTTCTTTGGGTAATGCTCGCCACCCCAAGATATTAGCAACGGTCTGTACTGGTTTGCATGGTACCAACCGTTTGTACTGAGTTACCATCGGTAATTGCTAATCTATTCTTCGGAAAGACAGCGATGTCAATTACGAATATTTGATCCAAGAGGGGTTGATATGTGGTGACCCCATTATGCAATGGGCTCACCCTAAGAGATACCAAGTAAGGTTTGTATCCGGTGTCATATGAGAAGATCAAATGTATATCAGAGGGTTAACATAGAAGTTGAATCATAGTCACCAAGTGCAGAATCGGGCATCAAAAGAATGTCTGTGACTGAGGCGAGATAAAACAGGAATTAAATGCAGTTAAACATAGGATATAAGCAACCGGATTTCATATAAATACCGACCTACGATTGGAAAGGGAGAGTCACTCGCATTCTCGCGAGATGATCAAAAGTTCTTTCGAAGTCCTCGAAAACCTAGCCTCATAGTCGATATTTGGTGTATTAAAGATTTTAGTTTTATATACGCAGCATGTGCACAGGAACTAGTAACCACGAGTTACACTCCTTGATACAGGACATTCCAAACGAGGGACTGACGTGGTGTAAATAATAATAATAATAATAATAATAATGATAATAATAATAATAATAATGATAATAATAATAATAATAATAATGTAAATAATAATAATAATAATAATAATAAATAATAATAATGATAATAAAGAAATGTGTGTAAGAAACACTGGTATGATAACATGCCATAATTAAGAAATAGAAGATGTCACCATTCTATGGATTATACCATCCACACAGACAGAAAAATTGAAGCAAATAGGCCGGACATTATTGTCAAAAAACCAGAAAGAAAAAAACTTGCCTACTAATTGATATGGCTTGGTCCAGCGGATTGTAACATAGCAACCAAGGAATTTGAAAACTATCAAAATACAAAGACCTGAAATTGAAATAGAAAAATGTGAAATTGAAAACAAGAATAATACCAGTGGTAATAGGTGCACTTGGAATTATAAAAATGGAACAAAACAACACATTGAAAGAATCCCTGAAACCCCACTTAAGAGACATACAGAAAATTGTTTATTAAGTGGAGAACTTTGTCTATGTAACGCTAGCAACTTCATCGGAGAAAAAAAAAAAAAAAAATTAACGAAATTATTCTTTTGTGGTTATCCAAAAATTCTTCTTGATGATAATAATAATAATAATAATAATGGCAGACGAACGTTTTGTATACCGAAAATTTCGTTATTCTTTGTGTTATCCAAAATGTAAGACGAACGTTTTGAAAAAATATATGTAAATTTTTTTTCCTCTATAAATTGTGCTGTATTCTGGAGAAAGTGACATTATGAAGTGAGACACCGATAGCGTCGTTCTGCTCCGATTTTTTTTGTTGAATAAAGCCTGTCTTAATGTTATCGACATCTCGCCTTCTTGCCATTTTGAATTGCGTTCAAAATGCATAACAAATTATTCAACAAAATTGCAACATAATCAAAAATATTCAAGCCATATCGACTGGCCCGAGATCACAATGACCCTTACACTTCTAAAAACTGGAAGCATTGGAAAAGAACTTTTGAAAATGTTATTCTGGAATATGTGCAAGAAGCTTCGATCTCTGAGACATTGTGTTTCATCCGGGCCCTATCAGTGCCTCGAAGATTGTACAAATTACTAGGAAGCCGCCCAAACTTTAGACCAGCTATACATCAAGGCATCTAATGAAATCTCTGCTAGGATGCCAGAAGCCAGAGGAAACACTCCTTCAGAAAACTTAATAAACATTTCAGCTACAAAAGACTTACTGCTGAACAATACAGAGAAGGGCAAATTATATCGATTACTTACATTATTTACATTATTCGAACTGATCTTCATTGCCATATTTACAACGTTTCGAGAACGCTCTGGCTTTCTTCAGGTGATTGGATTTTAGAACCGAACCCTTTATTTCGCCCACAGGAGTAGATTGTTCCATGACTCTTCCGGATGTTTCAGTTTTGGTTGACCACTGCTGTAGCCAAGGACTGAACTCACAACTCTTTGGATCTAATCACTGGATCTAACCAACGTGACAAAGTTAACAAGTATAACACACGTCGGATGGAACCGAGAATACTCATGTAACTCTTGAGCATATGCGAGATTCCCCCAAAGGTAAACGTGTTCTGTGTCATGGCGAAGAAACGCGTGTATGGCCCATTCGTCTTTGAAGAAGGAACACTCAATGGTGAAGCGTACCTTGTTATGTTGCAAAACTGAAAACTGGTTGAGGGAAAACTTTCATGAGGTGAAATCTGCAGACTTCATTTTCCAACAAGATGGGGCACTACCTCACTGAAGTCTTAAAGTTAGACAGTATCTGAACATCACCTGACAGATTGTATCATTAGAAATAACGTATAAACAGAGAATGAATATATATATATATATATATATATATATATATATATATATATATATATATATATATATATATATATATATATATATATATATATATATATATATATACACACATATATATATATATATATATATATATATATATATATATATATATTGTGCGTGTGCTTACTTTGATCTGACTGCACATGCGCAGGAAGGGCAGGACGCTGACATTTTAATTGATTTTTTTTTTTTTAATGTGTTTAGATCTAAAGTCAAGCCAATCACAGTTTATCTTTTTTTTGTTGATATTTATTATCACTTTTTTCATTAAGTGTACCACATTGTGATAATAGAAATTCTGTCAAGAAAGGTGAAATGCTGGAAGAATCTAAATTGTGGATGATCTACTGATTAAAGCACTCTCTATACGCTTTAGTTTTAGTAATTTTATTTCTATTTTAATTAAATTAGCATTTTTTAAAAACCAAATTACGGTCAGACGTTTTACGGTGAACAGTTGATGCACTGAGTGCAATGTTTTGTAAAAGTTCCCTTTTGTGTTCATATAATCTTTTATTTAAATTCCATGAGGTTTCTCCTATGTAATCCTTACGGCTATTATTACATTTGATAGAGTAATTACCTCCTTCAAGTTTTAGCCTAGTATTATTTTGTTTTCTATTAATTAAGCCTTTTATTGTTTTAGAAGAGTTTGTAAAAATATTTTAAGCTTAGATAAATTCTTTTCAATTGCAGTTGGGATAGAGTTGGTGGGTAGAAAATATATTTTGATTCGTTGAGTTCGTCAGGAAAGTCTTCTTTTCTATTTTGAAATATTTTACGAGCCTTTTGTTTTGTGTTGAATATGAAATAAATAGGGCACTGGAGATGCTTAAAAGTATTTTCAATTTATTTCTCCACTTCATGTAAATATTGAAGACTACAATTTTTGAGTGCTGTTAAAGAGGGATCTAGGTAAATTGTTCGAAATCAATTGCTCGACAGCAAATCAGAAAGGCAGATTGCTCCAAGTAATTTCGAAGCTCGAAGCACCACGTAAACTGCACCGTCTCACGACACGTCAACGGAGCTGGATATAAAAGCAGCCACAACACTCCACTTTAGCAGTCCTGATTTTTTTTTTTTTTTTTTTTTAAGCATTGTGCCCCAAGCAAGGCGTGAAGCCACTAGGATGCAGGGGGTTGCGGAAGATTTGGAGCGAGAGCAGATAAGAGTGATAGGAGAAAGGAAGAGGAGAAGGATAGTGGGTAGATCAAGGTAATTGGAGATGTCGATTGACATTACATTTGAATAGTTGGAGATTATAGCTTTCAGGGAAACAGTAATTGGGGAGGGTGTTCCACTGGCGAGAGGTGCGAGGTATGAAGCTATTGGAGTAGAAGAGACGGCTACATTTGAAGGTTTCTACGGTGTAAGGGTGAGAGCGGGATGCCAGCCTCGTAGGGCGCTTGAATTCATGGAGTCTGGGAACCAGAGAGAGCAGCTCATCAGAGCAGTTACCATGGAAGTATTTGTAGAAAAGACAGAGAGAGGCGACGGCGCGTCTGTGAGAGAGTGACTGCAAACAAGACGCTAGATCAGGGCCAATTAGATTACATATCCTTCTTGGAGATCTCGAACCCTAGTGATGGACATAACTTTTGTTGAGAGCGAAAAAGGAAAGAAGTTGTGTTTGGATGGATATATCTATATATTAAGGACAAAACAGTGAACAATAAGATTTACTAGAAATGTGAAATGTGCAAAAAAAGGAAATGCTTAGCACGTGTTATATTTTTTTTTGAACCACAGGTTGCGAGCAAACTGCCTTTCGAGAAAAAAAAATGTACTCGTTCTTTAATTTTAACTTTTCAATTAACAACAATAAAGTTGTATTCTTTTATATTATAGTAAATATTAAAAACAATGTAGTTTTATTTCTTTTTAACCACAGGTTTCGAGCAAACTGCCTTTCGAGCAATTGATAGTTCGAGAAATTATTTTTCGAGGAATTGATTTCGAGCAATTTACTGTCGAGGGATTGATTTCGAGCAATTTACCGGATACGGTTAAAGAGAATCCGATAATTATTCCGGATTTTATATTGCTGCTATGGTGAGAATAGAATTTTATGAGATCATTTTTATTAGGTGATTTGCAAGAGATACTTAGATTTAGGCTGTTGTTAGTATGGCGTTACATGATATCTCCTTCGTGCACACGAGTAGTCACATTAAGGTAAACATCACTTTAGTCCGATGAAGTCCTAAGGGATAAAACGCGTCACACGAAAAATTTTTCCCACTTTGTCATTGATTTTCCTAAAATTGTCCTGTTATATAAAAGTGTATATATCTTCCTCCTCGA